TGGCATTAGGTGTATTTATAATTTTTATATCTTCTGTTGAATCTGTACTTTAGTTGTTCTATGGTAACTTTCTTTTTATTTTTTATAGTTTTTGTTCTAAGATCTCTTTTGACTGTTGTAAGAATAGCTGTTCCTGTTCATTTTTGCTTTGCATCTGTGTTGAATATCTTTTCTCATTCTTTTAGTCCTTCTGAAGTGAGAGTCTTATAGGCAACCTGTCATTAGGGCTTGTTTTTAATTCTTTCAGTCGGTTTTTATCTTTCATTTGGGGTATTTTAGTCCATTTATATTCAAGGTTTTTATTAACATTTAAAGATTTATTCCTATCATTTGGTTAATTTTCTTGTTTGTTTTTAATATCCTTTGTTCTTTTTCTTTTTCTTTTTCTCAATCATCTTCCTGCTTAGGTGGCGTACTGCGTCAATAAGTTTTGCTTATTGAGTATCTGCTCTTCCAGTGGATTTTATACTATCTGTTTAATGATTATAATTTTTTTTTGTTTCTGGATATAAGGCTCACTTAAGCATCTTTTATAAGGTCAGACTGGTGGTGATGACTTATTTCAGCTTTTGGTTGTCTTAAAGGGATTTTTCCCCTTTCATTCTAAGGACTGCTGTGCTGGGTATAGTATTGTTGGGTGGTATGTTTTTTCTTTGAGAACTTGTACTATGTCACCCATTCCATTCTGGCCTATACAATTTCTCTTGAAAATTTTGTTTGTCTAATGGGAGATTCCCTGCATGTGACTTAGCACTTTTTATTTTGTTGTTTTTAGGATTTTTTCTTGATCTTGTACTTTTGACAATTTGACTATAATTAGCCAATATGAAAATCTTTCCTGGTCATGTCCGTTGAGATCCTATGAACTTCTTATTCCTAGATCTTCATTTCATATTTTCTCAAGATTGAAGAAATTTCAGCTACTATTTCATTGAATATATATTCTATTCCTTTTCCTTTATCTTGCCCTCAGACACTCCTAAAATTCTAATATTTATTTTATGGTATTTCATGAGTCTTTGAGGCTATTTTCATTCTTTCAAATTTACTTTTTCTCTCTTATATGAGTGAGGTATTTAAAATGATCCTCCTTCAATTTCAGATATTCTTTCATTTTAATCTAGTCTGCTCATGAGGCCTTAAACTGTATTTTTATTTGACTTATTGAGTTTATTTCTAAGATTTGTATGTGTTTCTTTTCCCCAGACTGTATCTCCTTTCTGAATTTCTTATTTATGTCTTTGAATCATTTTCCTATTTGCTTTGTCTTCCTAAATTCTCTTGAATCTTGTTCATTTTCCCTGTAAATATTCTATAGAATTCTTTATTAGGCATTTCATCAATACCTTTTCTTTGGAATTTGTAGCTAAAGAGCTATTTAGTCCCTTGGAGTCATTGTGTGATCTTGCTTTTGCATACTTCTTGTATCCCTTCATTTCGATTTTCACACCTGGTAGATCAGTTATCTCTACTACTCTTCTTTGGTGACTTCTGTGGGAAAATAACTATCTCCTAAAGATGCATTTTTGGATGCCAGGTTGGTAGGCTACATTGGCATTGTTTCTAGTTGGGTGACATCATGTAGATTGGGATAGATTCTTTGTATGCAGTCAGTCACTTTGGGTGTGTTCCATGTGGCAAGAGTGATAGAGAACCCTTCTGATTCAGGAAAGCACATGAGGGAGGGGTACTAGTGATTCAAGTAGCTGTGGTACACACCTCAGTTGTGATGAGACCACAGCCACCTGGCAATGTGTGGCCACTCTGGCATTTGGAATGGTGGTACAGGAAATATGCCACACAATGGCTGTTTCCTTAGTACTGACAGAGCGGCAAGGGTTGAGGGGGTAGCATATGACGCATGTTTCAGCCAAGTGGAGGGGGTTTGGAACTTGCACCCTTAGGCCCAGTGGCAGTGCAGGGTCAATGGCTGGAACCATTCTTTATTTCATTTATGATTATGTATTGAGTGCCTCCTACATGCAGGGCACCCTTTAGGCTCATAACAGAACAAGTTCCTACCGTGGTTTGGATAGTAAGTGAAAAAGAAAATGAATGTATAACATGTCAAGTGGTGATAAGCAATAGAAGAAAACCTGTAAGGTAAATAGAATGTGATAGGTAGGTGAGCAGGGGTCAACTTCAGACAGGATGGTCTTTGGTGGCCAAGTGATGTTGCACTTGAGGAAAGACCTGAATGAACTGAAGCAGCACTTTCTGGAGCTGTATAGGGGAGAACACTGCAGACGGAGGGAATAGCAGGTACAGTCCCGGAACCACAGTGTTCTTGTCACAGGCATGTGGCTGGAACAGAGAGGATGCAGGGAAAGGAGTCAGAGATGATGTTCACATTTGTTTCACTTTCTTAGCTATTGGTTCATTGATTTCTCTAGAACAAATTGTGTAGGGTTGTGTGTGATCTTTTAAAGATGCTGATTTTGTTCTCCAAGTGAGATGGGAAATTAGTAGATTATTAATTGATTAAACATTTTTTGAAGATTTTGTGGCTGTCATTGTTATTGTCTTAAATAAGTTACATGATGCCTGGAAAAGCTATTTCTATCATAATCATAGCCTTCAAAATCTTCAAATGTGTTATGGTAGTCAGAATACCATTTTTTCATAAAAGATTAAGTTAAAGAGTAATAACATAAAACTAAATCACCACACTATACCTTGGTATATGTTGTTTCAAGTGGGATATTTATTATTATTATAAACTAAGATGCAATAAATGTAACTGAATAAATAACACATATTAATTCTTTATCTACTTTGATGCTCATGACTAAAATTGTCTAACATTTGTGGTTAAGCCCACCATTAAGGGCTTTCTCCTATCATCACAAATTGGAAAGTTTGTATCTAGAGGAAAATTATCCCTAGGACCTTCCAAATTCATTCCTATTTTGAAGGTTGAGAGAGTTATTCCAATATGAAGAAGGAAAAGTCAATGTGCAATAATTGGTATGAAGAGAACATAATCTCTAGAATAGTCTGCATGCTAACTCAGGTTATCCCCTTGAACTCAGATGTCATCCACACCCCCAAGGAGTTATCATTTGCTGTCTGGTGAAGTCTTCCAGTTTCACACAGAGTCCTTTATCCCTGTCGTTAAATATCTTTGTTTTGGTGTCACCTTGTCAAGGTGCTGATCTATCTCTGAACTTAATTTGTGAAATTGTGGCATGAGCAGGAAGGAGATTCTTCTTTCTCTTTGATCTTACCCCTGGAATAAGTCATCTTATCCTTTAGCCAGTCCCACCACTGAAGTTCTTCCCTTAGGATGCTGGTGTTTGTGAACCATTAGGCACAACTGTAGTAAAAATTGTCCGTATGCAGCCATCACATACATGATCATATATTCCCACAGAATCTGGGATATATCTTTCCCACACTATTTCACTGTCAAGGGCAGGGAAAGCTGTAAAACGTAATAGGTAGCAGCACTCATTTATATCAGAGATGACTCCATTTTGAGAAGAAAAATATCCCTAAACCTCACTTCAGTGCTGAACATCAGCAGCCCTTTTTAATTAGAAGAACAATGTCTTTTTTTTCTTTCTTTTTTATCATTTCCCCAGCTCCCCACTTATCCCTACCCACTAGATTCTATATTTGGGTTCTTCTCCATGCTCCCTCTTGGCACAATCTCAATCATTGCCATCTATATCATCTCTACTCTAACAAATCTCCACCATACGCTCCATGCTTGGACTCCTCACTCTCTTTCTTAATCAAAACTCCCTTGTCCCAGGTTGTTTGTTCCCCTTGTTCTGTGCTGCTTCAGAAGAATTTTAGCACATGCTTATATGTTAATATATGCAAATAGTATAATTTATTACCTACCCCACCAGCAAATAATATTGATATTTAGATTATAACTACCCAAATGGGTGTTGCCAATGCTGAGAAATTTCAGATAAATCTGCAGAAATAATAATAATAAATATCCCACTTGAAACAATATTCTGCAAATCCTATAAGTGGTGGCTGATATATCAGAAGTAACACATTACTGCACCACACGGATGATGGTCCTGTTGTCACACAAGCAAATGACCAACATGCTTTGTACTCCTCTGGTCTAATTTGCATTTCCTCGAGGAGGTTATAGCATGGTGTCTGAACAAGTTAGAGAGGCTAGAATTAAGTCATGGTAACACCCTTCTACAGTGAATGTGTCTTATGCTGGGGAAAAAAAATGAAAGCAGCAGGTGGTGAAAGGTCACGTTGGATAAGCTGCAATGGATGGGCCACACAGAAGAGTCTCAGTGGGCCCTGTGGTGCCATGCTTGGGCTTTAGGCAGTGAGGCAGATCTGACTTAGGTTGCCCTTGTGAGTACCAAGTTCTGAAACTGCTATTGTTTTGATGAAAAGAGCCCCGTGGATTGTTTTTGATCTGCATATTAACAAAGAAGAGAAAGACAGCCAGGTTATTTCTTAGAAAGAACAAGAAAGAAATTTTCCCTTGGAAATGTGCAAGATCCCTCTGTGCCAGAAACACACACACACACACACACACACACCCTTTCATCCACTCTGTAGTTTGCTTTCTTTTATTCCTTAGTATACATGAATATGTGAAAACACACAACACTCAGACATGCAGCCTGATCGAGTGATAATCTCTTATAATGTGCTTCTATTTAAAGCAACAAACAGATGGAGGGTTTATGAGCAAGGCTGGTAAAAGTAAAAGCAAATGATTGCAATAGTTGTACTTTTAATAGGATTCCCCCACAATCTAAAACATTATTCCCCATGGAACAAATTGTTCTATAAAATTCTGTTACTTAGGAGAGATACCCACCATGACATTGCTGAGGCAACAGAAAACCCCAGAATGACTGTGATTGTGGGGGTCTCTCCACTCAGACCAGTGTCCCGGGGGAAGGAAGATGGAGCTGTCAGGCACCATGATCCCCAAAGAACAAGCCCAGTGGAATAGGGTGAAAGGAAGAAAGAAAAAAAAGTGCAGAGTGGGTATGAAATATGTCTGAGCTTTGATTGAATTTATTACCTTAATTTTCTACTTTGAAAAACAAGGTTTGGGAAATTCCTTCAGATTTAAGATAAACATGCAACACGGCTTCCTCCCCTTCCTGATGCAGACCAAAGTCGAGCACAGCAGATCTTGCTTAACAAACAGTGGAATTGTAAACAACCCAACACTAATTCATTATCATTATCCCTGCTTACGAGAAACAAAACTCAACTATAATTCTATCAATAAGATGAATATACCACAGTGATGGCCTTTATGTAAATTATAATTAAAGCTAATCTTAATTAAAGTTATTACACCATTCTGGAAGAAAATAAACAACCCAAAGAGAGGGAAACAATGTGGTCAATAACTCACTCCAAAAATATTTCTTTTTTTTTTGCCTCCAAAAGCTCACATGGAGGGAGACATTCCTGCACATGATACAAATGGTTCTGACATTAAGAAAAGTAAACAAGTAAGAAAAATAAAGATGGAAAAATTCTGTGGTCAGTTCACAAGTGCTTTTTTATTGTTTGAGGCAGGGTTAAAGCCTTTTATAAAGACAAGGATATATGTGCCGCTAGATTGGATATGACATCAGACTAGTCTAGCTGCCCTTGCACAGAGCTCTGCTGCCCATAATATGCCATGGATGAAGCCCCTGCTGATGCTTCTAAACAAAGAACCAGGGTGGGACCTAATGCAGCTAATTTAAAGCATTATCCTAAAGCTGTTTTGTAGATCAAACAGAGAGAAGGTACTCAGCTCTGGTTATTAATGGATTGGAGAGATGAAGGCAAACATTCAATAATCTCTAATTATTAATGGTCTCAAGGATTTTAATGTTAACTGGTCTGAACAGCTGATTAATGGAGGTTGTGTAATCTACAAGCGGGACTCCTGCCAGCCTCAATACATGTCATTCCAGGGCTGTGTTGACTCAGTAGGCCAGAGGCTATGTAAACGGAGTCGAGTCGAGAAAGGAAGTTCTTCTGGGGCAGCTGGGGGATTCTGAGTCCCCAAAGACTTTCACAATAGCAACTCTCTAGTAACCCACTTGGTATCTGTAACTTTGGTTCTCCTCCAGACTTTGTTGTCCTAGGACCATGGACACCTTGTCTAAATGCAAGAGGCAAAAATAAGTGTTAAACCAGCCTTTCACACATTTTTGAGGGTGATTTGACTTGTGAACCAGGAAGTTCAAAGAAAGGCTAGTCACCCGAGTAGCATGATCATGGGTATTTTCTTTGTGACATTAATGCTAGAACATAGCCAAGGATGCACAAAGACGTAGCAACATCTCAAAAGCTATGCATCTAAATTCTGAGAGGTCCAGAGAAAAACATGACATTCAAAAGGTCTACACTGTCTATAAAAGCTGTCGGGTCTGGTGGGTATTTTCTACAGTCTTCATTTTGATTTTCAACCCCCTGACCCATCACATGCCTTCATCACCTCACTACTTTTAAATGGCACTCAAAGGAGCAAGCCAGCCCATGCACAATGAGGGCCGTAGGCACAGTGAAGAAGGGCGTGGTTAAAAAGAGTCCCTGGTGCAACCAAGGGTGTTGGGAAGGATGCCTCACCCTACATCCTATTCAGGAGAGAAGATTTGAAAATGAATGAAGTAAGATAAAGGCCATGTTTTTGTAGTCCGAGGTTTAGGAAAAGCTATTTGATGTAGGGATTGTAACTACCAGAATCTAGCTGTCAATGTATGACCTGGCTGAGAAGTTATCCCTCTGTTCTCTGAAAAACTGCAAATGGAAATGCATGATGCTAAAGGTTGGGGAGCAGTGAGGGAGGAGGGACCTGTACCTATGCAGAACATAAAGGCTAAGATTTAAGGGGAAAAAGGGAGAGCATCCTCCCCCTAACTGTGACAATCCCACTAAAAATAAACCCACAGCACAATGATGTCAGAGGGGTCTTGACTCAGTAGGCAAGCTGAAGACAGTCTCTCTCACTAGATGGCAGTCACTGAGCATGCTCAGGGAGGCCCCAGGTGTGACCTCTGCTCCCCTGTGAGCAGTGGAGGGACCAGGCAATCTATCATGGTGTTCATGCTGTCAACCCTGGTGCTTCGCCGCTGCTGTCTGTCACCCTGGTGGATGAGACCTGCTTAAGGGCAATCATGTCAATCTCTCTGTGACCACTCAGTCTAAGGCAGAAGGATGATCTTGACGGGCCTGGCAAAGTCAGCACAAGGTACCAAGAGCTGAAGTCACAGCCTTCCCGCAGAGATGCAACGTGGGCCATTGTTTTCTCTTTAGCTCTTTCTTTATTTTTGCTTTCCCTTTTTATTTTCATGAAATAGGCTAAGGCATACAGAACTTGGCTTCAGAGCTGGTCATCTCGGATAAACCTGTTGCCCTCTGAATTTTTCCCGTAGTAAACATAGCGACACTTCCCCAGGACTCCTGTAAATAAAAAGAAACACATCATTACAGGTGGTGCAGTTATGATGGCAGAGAGGCATAGGTGCTGAAACCCAGGCATGCAATACAATTGCGGCTCCTAGCAGTGGCAGAAATGGAAGAAGCCCCAGAAGGAAAAGACTATCTTTTTGTCCTCAGAGTTGGCATTCAAACAAAATGTCACTACTAAGCATAGGTTATGGGAAAAAGCATGTTTTCTGCATGATTTCCACACTTTAGGGACTTTGCTAATTTGGCAAATTACTCCCTAAAATACATAGCACAACACTCTCTTCTCTCCACGTTCCCTTCCTAGGTTTCCAAAGAGTGAAAAATTAAGTGTTTAAAGATGGACCTGGAGCCAGGTGGGGTGGCACACGCCTGTAATCCCAGCAGCTCAGGAGACTGAGGCAGGAGGATCACAAGTTCAAAGCCAGCCTCAGCAAAAGCGAGGTGCTAAGCGACTAAGTGAGATCCTGTCTCTAAATAAAATACAAAATACGGCTGGGGATGTGTCTCAGTGGTTGAGTGTCCCTGAGTTCAATCCCCAGTACCCCCACAATAAAAAAAAAATAAGAGCAGGTCCAAGAAGAAGAGATAGAACAATTTTCTTAGAAGGTGATGATTTTGAAATACTTTAAGCACATCTTAGATGATAAGAGAGAGAGAAGTGGTATTGACAAAATACCACATAGAAAGCGACAAGACCTCTTGACATCATCCCCTTCTCACAGGCATCAGGAACTCTATTCTAGGGTAGAATGCATTCAGTTTTCATCTTAAGTTTTACTGTATGTCAAAGCTTTCCTCTCATTCAAGTAGACTGCAGGAGACTTAACTATGGATAGGGTGAAATATTTTAATCAACTCACTACTAATTCTAAATACCCACAAGAAATCACTTCATTTTGCTTTTTGTTTTGTTTTTTGAAATGGGCTCTAACCATGTTGCCCAGGCTGGTCTTGAAATCACGAACTCAAGTGATGCTCCAGCCTCAGTGTCCTATGTGCTGGCACTACAAGTGGGTGCCACCCCACCTAGCTTTCATTTTGCTTCTTGTTGCTTTTTTCCTTCCAATTTTAGACAAACTAAAACTTCAGTTGCACACGGTTCTTTTAGTTCTAATGGGACTTAAATCTTGAGTGTCCAAAGTGCACATAGCTAAGAAAAAAAAAAAAGCCCATAAAACATTAATTCATGAGCCACAAAATCTGCCTGTGAAAATAGCTACCTAGAAGAGCATAGTTTATTTCCATCCATATGATAGTGTGAATTCAACTAACACCATGCTTTGTTAATTTAGGGGAAATTAGCACTTGAAATTAGCCAGGTTCTTCACATTAGAAGTTTTAAGTAGTAAATGTTTTTGAAAGTGAGAAATGTTTCTCTACTACAGAACTTTAAAGTTTGTTCTTAAAAAGGGATTAAAATGACTCTTAAGGACAGGGCAGATGCTCCCTGGTTTTGATGGCTTGGGGTAAATTGCTGGGGCCTGGGGATCTCTGAGTTGGAAGAGGGACAGACTGGCATTGTCTCATGCTGGCTGCCATTGTGTCCTGCCATGTTCCCATGAGCAACTTTACTGTGGCTCACTCTTCCCACTTGGCCATACTTTCTCTCTTGAGCCTCCAACCCCCAATGTCTGCTTCAGTACTGGTCTGGAACCTAGAAATACTGAGCTGGGGATGAACTCTCACTTGAGACCCTTCTTGGGGCCTAAAATATTCTTTTAGTGGTTGGAACTGAGTTGTTTTCCTTTATTGTGCTGAATTATGTAGCACCAAGGGTTGTGCTAATATTGTTGGGGATCTCAGTGGTCTGTGGGCTGGGCTGGGCTGGGCCAGTCTGGCATCTCATAAGGCCTGGGTAGGAGTGCTATAGATAAATGGGACCATTCCTGGGAGATTGCCTTAAACATGACTGATTCAAATGAACCCTCAATGGAAAGATGGGGCCTAAAGATGAGAAGTTCTTTCTCCAGCACCAAGACAGCATGGATTTTAATAAAAAGAAATGGATAGGGCTGTCAGATAACATAAAGATCATCATCTTCATGTTGAGCAAAACATGAAAGGCAGACACACACATGCTGCCCACCACGGGCATGCTCTCCAGTAAAGACTCCAGTGCAGCCAGGGATGCGATTTCTTTTCTCTGCCCTCTCTCCACGGAGAGCTTCCACTCTGGATCTCGCCTAGATGCAACAGATGGAAACAGTTCTCCTGGAACGGGGTCCGCAATGTGTTCTGAGACACATTCCCAGACCTTCTTTCTGGTTGGCATTGATGAAAGTCCTTTTTAAGGCCTGCCCTGTTTCTTTGGGCCTGGAAGCAAGAATGTTTATAGACATCTTGGTGAGAGAGGGCTGTTTGATGAATGCAGGAGACTGCAGCTAGGTGTCAGCACTTGGGAAATGAGGCAAGGACATGAGGTATTAATATTGTCAATGATCTCTTGACGGGAAAACAGATACCGCACTCACTGTCAGATTTAAATAGACATCAAGTGCATTAATGACAAAAGGGCAGACTTCAAACAAAGGGGCTGTGTGGTGGGGAGCCGAGTTAGTCTCTGTGCCGGCAATAACCTGATCTGAAAAGACACTGTCAGGACGAGAGACAGGCCCAGGATTGTGTGCGGTGACAGAAAACAGAGATACTGACAGAGATACCAGCGCCATAGAATGCCAGGGATACTCTCGCACTGTCTGCCGTTCTAACACAAGCTGACATCACTCCCTATCACTTGGGGTCTTCTCCGCCTGCTCCTGAAGACATGATGTTTCTCCCCAAACATCATTCCAAAGCTTGCTGTGGCTGTGAAGTTCCTGGCAGCCCTGGTCTGTTGGAGCAGTGGGGTCACGGGGCCTAAGGATAACCTGAGTCAGTCTAAATCTGGGCTTTGCAGGAGGCACACGCTTGTTCTCACTGATATCTCTGCTACTTGAGGTGATCAGAGAGGGCCAATGTGTGAGGAGCTGTCACCTTGAATAAAATCCTTCAAGAGAAGGCACTCGGTCCCTGGGCTGCTCCAGGAAGGCGGGGATGGCGTGGCAGCCAAAAATGAAACCCAGCTGCTGGTGCTCACCAGAGGAGAAAGGTGCTCCAGCTAGTGACAGTTAAATTTGGTTGAAATTTTTGCACTGGAGCCATCTACCATGATTGAAATTATGCAAGCTGTTGCCTCTCTTGAGTTTCCTACCCCAGCTCACAGTGGGGATGTGATTACCCCCAAAATGCAACTTTTGTACTCAAAAATAAATAAAAAATATTAACAAGGGGGAGGCAAACAACAGCCTAGCACAGTCCCATGTGTGGCCACAGGACTTTCATTTATCATGAAGGTTTTTTTTTTCCCTGAAATAATAGGCTGTGCTCATAAATTAAGTGAGGTGACTTTATGGGTTGCTCTCTTCTGGCTGTCCCCCCAGCCCTCCTTCTCCACCATGGCAACTGCCAGACGCTGTGAAAATTACAGAGGGAACCGTCTGCCTGCAAAGAGCATTTTCTCAGGGAGGTGCTCTGAGGCTGGAATTTGGGAACCCGCTGGTTGTGACCCAGTAGGCCACGGTTTCTGTGCACATCTGCAATGGATTCACTTGTTTGTATCTTCTCAAACTATAACATCTTAGAACTGGAGGGGGAACAACACATTTAACAGCATATGTAGTGTTTTTAATTAAAATATCTGGCTTTGGCCATAATAAGTGGAGCGGGCCTGCCATGCATCAGGCCAACACGCAGATGTCTGCGCAGGGTTTCTTTTCAGGGGCCCTGAAAAATGACAGTGCGCCATCCCCGGGGGAATCCTCTCCTGCCAAATGAGACTCCTAATTTTTCTTAAGTAGCCAGCTTTCCCATCACCATAAGCTCTTAAAGCTATAATTATGAAAAAAAATGTATTGGGAAGAATATGTTTTAAAGAGGCCTTTTATCTTTTCAATGTTCCCCCCCTCTGGAACGGATGTTCTAATTATGTGAGTTGAGTTATGACCTTGGGGCTGCCTAAGGGGGTGGGAATGAGCCCCTTTTCTTGGATGCAAGGCTGTGACCATTCCAGAGACTTGGCTGGGGGAAGTCTGAGTGTCCGGGGAAGAGCTCTTGCACCCACCCCTGAATCTGAATCTGGCACAGCCTCCAGGACACACCAACCACCTGGACAGCCTCACACTTCCACCCTAAGAGGTGGTGGAGGAAAAGTGGTATTTCAATCCAGCCCTGTTCTTCATGGTCTTTTGACTGGGCACACCTCGCATACCCTCACTGGACTGGTATCTCCACATGTAAAATGGGGACAAAGAAACTCTTGAAGGTCCGTTTTAGTTCTGAAATAGACGATTAGCTTTTTGAAATGTTCCCCTTAGGGACACAAGGACGGTAGGTGCAATACTGCCCCATGAAGGAGGCAGATCCCATGGTCCATGGATCCACAATTTGATTTGGACTGAGCTCTTGAAACCCATCAAATACACAGCTCCATATCATAGCCCAGTCATCTGGGCGGGGGGGGGGGGAGGACTTCAAAATCTCCAAGAAAAAAGGTTTTCACCAACTTCCTGACAACCTGTTTGACATACAGCTGAAGGGTTGTCCCACATCCTGCTATCTCTGTCACCAGACCAAGTCTCACAGCATCATGGTCAATGGAAGGAAAGCTTACCTGGCAGAGCCAGTGACCTTCTGTCCACATTTCAGTGGTGGGGGTGGTGAAGAATGTGCACATACAAATATAAAGACATTTGATGACTGAGTGGAGGTTGGACAAATAATTCATATTTGCTAACTAGGGGAATTAAGTATCAATTTTATCCTTACTTTTAGTTTGGGTAATCATCATTTTAAATGCCATTATCATTATCATTTGTATGCATAGTTGTGATAATGACAAACAGATCTTGATTTGATTGTGATCACCAGGAGCTTACAATTAGATGACCCCGTATGTGATGGGTCAGGGACAGAGAGCTCTTCTGAGAGCTCTCTAATCTGTAGGAGGGAATGAA